AGCCAGCTGACACTGAGACGGAACCGATGAAGGAGGCCTACGACAAATACAAACCCAGCTGGTGGGGCAGAACTCGGCAACAAGGAGCGCTTTGTCTCCTGAATGAGCTAGGTTTTATTTGTTTGGACGTGCTCGAATAAGCAATCGATTCGTGTTTGTGTTTCTTCCATGGACAGGTGCAGTGTTGGTGCTGCCATCTTCCATTTGCAATTCTTGCCTCTTGTGCTCTTTGTTTTGCTGCTGAAGGTCTGAAGAGCTGTTTACTTTGGTTCACCGGAGCTTTATCAGTAACAGCCGAAACCCGCGGGCATTCCAGGCCAGAGTTGCTCAGACTCTAGTATTGGCCATTATCGCTGGTCTTATTTTCCTGCGACTTTCCCCAGACAACTATTTGTCAAGAAGCGGTGCCTGCACATTTATAGTTCTGAATCAGGTAGGCCAAATGAGGTGGGGCTGCTGTACCCGGGAAGCCTTCAGAAGCCCGTCGGAGACGGATAAACGGAAATGGCGATATATATATATATATATATATATATATATATATATATATATATATATATATATATATATATATATATATATATGCCCAGCATCCTAGACGCATTCTCCTTCCAGAGGCCGTCTGTGGCTCTGATTCATGCTAACAAGGCTGCTTTCTCCCAACCCTAGGCTTCGTCGTGTATATTTATTGTCTTCGTATATCAGTGAATTCTGCGGTTGCAGGGGAGTCTCGGAATGGTTTCAGTATTGCATACGTTTACAAGTGACAAAGTTTTGGCTGTTCGAGAGTACCAATCTGGCCTTTACCGCCTCACGTCGTATTGCTGCGGCAAAATGATCGCCGATTTTGCCTTGCAAATGATCTTCCCCATTGTTTTTGCGACGTGAGACAGTAGGAATTTGGTCTTCTTGCTAGGTGATTTACAATTTTGTCGGGCCTGCCCACTGCAACTCGAGACCCTTGGAGCCTGCGATGTCTGTTGTTGCTCAGAATTGCATGGTACATGATTGGCCTGAATGATGCGGCTTTACGCTGGCTTTTGGGTCTGCTATTCATCATGCTGACAACCAACAGCGCCATTTCAATCGGCTATGCTGTGTCCAGCGCGGCGCCGACGGTATTACAGGCACTCTAGTCAAATGCGCTGTTTGCTATTACCAGTTATATCCACAGTGTCAAGGATAAAAATCAGACCTGCGCACGATGCGAAGATTTGATTCTCAGCAATCTCCTTCCTCCTAGCTATGTTAAACACGTTCTTCGTATACAATAGAGCTCACGCCTCAGATGCAGGAGACTCGACAGCATGCATGCGAACATCCTCACGACTCTTTTAGCTATGCGGGATTTCGCAGCAACTTAAATTGATCATGTTTCCACTTTTTCTGTAAGACGATATGTTATCCTGTATCGTGGCATTTTTTCATATGTTTGTCGATACGTTTGTGTTTGTCAATTACTCTTCAGCTCCAGTTCGCCTCAACTATCATCCCTATACTGTTCATGCCCCTCGTCCTCATGTCCGGATTTATGGTGATTTTGTCAAACATGCCGGGCTTTTGGATTTGGCTGCAGGTGAGCTTCTGTGTTGCCAAGGAAACCGTTATTTTTAATAGCCGTTAACGAATAAGCCGCAGAACCGATTAGGAAGCAAACGTCGTAGTACGCAGATGACTGTAATTGCGCACTGGTCACGTGCGATTTGAAGGAACGCCTGGAAGGTAGATAAGTGAACCGTGAATGTTGGGAACGTTTTGTTGTGGGTTTGAAATGTGATGATTTCTGTTGCGCAGTATATGTCGCCGTTTCGTTGGGGATGGTCCGGAGTGATGCACGCCGTTTGGGGTAATATATTACTTTTTCTCAACGGTGTTTCAAGAAGATATGGACGACAACTGCTGCTGCTCCCTCCTAAATATGGTTCCAGCTGTGTAGACGTCCCATGTTGTCTCACAAGCAGCTGTGGCATGCCTTGTTCTTACTGTTTTGGCTTCTTTGTTTACAGAGGGAGTTGTGCTGAAGCCGTGCCCACCCGGAGTTCTTCCACCCCAATGCTACTCAAATGGAGAGCAGGTACAAGACAATGCGTCTGACTAAACAACGAATAAATCTCCCCGTAATAGTCTAGGAATACGCCTAAATGCTCTTGTGAATACACATATTCCACTTAGTGTTAAAAAATATAGCTAGGTGAAGTTGTAAGGGGTATGCCGGCATTTCAGATGCATAGTCNTTTTCGGTATATACGTTGGCATTTGTTAAACTTGTGTGCAGGTCTTGCAGTACTACGCCATAGATCGTGACTCATACTGGTTCAGCGCCTTGGTCCTCGTGTTACAGATCGTAGTGTAAGAAAGTGCAGTGTTGCTTTCCAAGCCATCTTCCCTTCTTTGCTTGATATGTTGATTTGTGTGCAAGGATTGACTGTTTGGTTGCTTTTTTCCGCCTAATACGCAATATGCACGTCTGGCCTGCGCAGGTACCGGTTACTTGCTCTCGGGCTTCTTCTTTTGGTCAACCGCCGCAAGTGAAAATTCTCACCCGGTAGGAGCAAAATCCTTCGCTCTCAATAAAATTAAAACGTACAGTTGGAATTCTTGGTCTCAAATAGAGAACTGGTCTGCCAGGTGCCAGACGCATACACACTCTAACCCGGGCTTCTGATGAGTACGCAGTTAAGATGCCTGTCAGAGGTCCGCTGCGAATCTGGAGCATCAATGACCCCACCTCGCTCTCTCTGATTTTGTCAGATTTACATATTGTAGGACAAGCCTCGTGAGGCACCACCGCTTGGCAGCAGAGGCATGTACGGGACATACGCAGTGCGAGCAGAAAAACTGCTGTATGCAAGGGAGCTCTAGCCCGCATATTACGGCATTTTACACCAAACGAGCTATGTCTACACTCGCAGAAAGAAGCATAAAATGCGCAAATGCCGCTGAAACAACTGCCTGGTTACTTGCAAGCCAAGAACGCGGGTTGCGTGTAGCGTGTATTGAAAAAGTGCTGGAGTGGGTATTCTTCAAATCGATAGTGCAAAGCTTGCCAGTCTCAGCTGTACGATCACAGCAAACTGTGCTGTGTGAATAACGTGGTCCCTAATCACGTGCTCTCTCTACCCAGCGCCTAGGCTCGCCGACTTGTTGGAAGTTCCGACAAAAACTTCAACAGATCCTCTGCCTCCTCGTCCAAATCCTCCTCACAGTCACTGTCACTTTCCGAGTCTTCGTCTACCCCCCAGCAAATCGCCCGCGATCGTTGTGCTGAAGTTGCCTCCCGTTTCTCCTCTGCATCGAAGGCGGCAAATGCCGGGTGCAACTTTTCAGCCGTTGATACAAAGTCACCTTTCCGGGCGCAGAAGATCATCCCCTCACTTGCCAGTCTGCGGAAAAGCGGAATGACTTATTGTTGGCGCATGGAAGAAGACTGAAAGCCTTCGGGGAACGATGGCAATGCCACTTACTACGAAGCCGCTGTGCTNTTCGCTGCCAGAATGGTGCATGCAGTGCTTTTCGTGTGGATTTATCTATCAGTGTTTGCCCTAGCCTGACCTGGATGGAGCAACTTCTGCTCTTTTTACACTAAATAGTGGTTTGTCACAGTCCACTGGCCCCTTGTGGCTCATAAGAATAGCATCCATTCGGTTTGCGTGTTGATGCAAGCCTCTGCACCTCCAGGAGCACAAACACCTCCATGGACTTTTGCTGCACGTCGAACCGCACTTGCTGCTGCAGAAACCTCCTTCCTGCCACTGCAGAGCCCTCCTATGTCTCAGCACTAGCCGCTTCGCAGCCGCCCCAGCAGCGTATCCAGCTCTACCACTCCGTCTTCGTCCCAGAGAGACGAGCGACTCAACTGAGCACCCACCAGCACAACTGTCGCCTGCAACTGCCAGCGAACCCGGGTCGAGGGGGGCCTGACACTGCAGTGGAGGCTGTTGGCGCGGCAACAGCCGGTAATTTCCCTCCAACTTGTGCAGAGCAGCCACCAACAGCGCGCGGCCCCCGTTTCGCCAATCGATGGGGTAGCGCGGCACTAAATTTGACGGCACCTGCATACATGCAAACACGCGGGAAGTGAACGAAGTTAGGCTCTGCAAGCGACAGCAAGCGTGAAGGAGCCACACGAGCTGAAACAATTTGATGATTCCTGATATTCAACGCGTCACGCAGACGCAGAACGACGAAATACTGCCACGGCTGGCACTGCAAAATGTGTGGGGAGCATCGCATGCTCTGCACTGGGCTTAAGGAAACTCAAGTCTGCCTCACAGTTGTAGTTCTGAATACAGGGTCATATAGAGCCTTTTTATGTTGGTGGTTCCCTGAGTCAGATCGAAACCGCAAAAGAACATAGANAATACACATACGGGAGTGATATTTCAAAGTCAGCAGCGTACACATACCGCGGAATCCGATCGGACGGCGGCCCGTTGGAGCCGGAATGGGAGGAGCTTTAAGGATTTTGAAGGGCGTTGAAGACGCCATCACAGGAGTGCATGTCAAAGTATCATTGATATCAGCCAGGTACAGAGAATTAGAATTGCCAATTCAGGTGTGCGCAGAAGCGGGGGAAGAGTCAACCATGGCTTTTGAAACTGCCCATCAACCGGAAAGAGCGGGGAGGCGCCGACGCAGTAGGCCGGATCCAACGACCCATTAGGGCAGAATGGCACCCTTAATACTTGTGTATCTCTTCAAGCTTCAAAGAAGAGCGCGACTACAACGCCATGCAGTCCTCCCTTCTCAGGGGGGAGCCGGCTAAGAGATTGGCAATCAGCGCAATCGACCTACAGTTAGAAATAAACCAAACAAATAAACTTAGTTATGCAACAGATCAAGCTTCCCTGCACACTGCAGCTGAGGCCCACGGCCTGGGGCTGGCAGTGTCGCTGATACGGCCAACCGTTATAAGGACGGAACATAAATATAACTGTTCCCTTTCAAAAGAACGGAAGTTCTCCACGAATGGTGTTTTGTGCATTTTAATATAGGTTAGGTGTCGTAGTAAGACTAAAACAGGCGGTTCCTCTTGTCTCCATTACTTGGGCACGGAGGTGGGTAGGTTGGGGCTGAGAAGGAAGAATCTTGATAAAGACATCAGGGAAAACATTCACACATACTCTTCCTTTTTTGTCGGAAAAGGCGAGTTAGGGCTTTTACTTTTTTCTTGGAGAAGGCGCGTTAGAGAAAGCCTTGTCACGGTGGACAGTTGCAGCAGCGTAACCTTCGGTAGCCAGTGTACACACAAGTACAGAGCGCACTGAACAGTACCCGATGTAAGGGAAAGCGCTCGGGGGAGCACGAAACGCGGGATCATGACTAGCAATGCATGTTTATAGTGAATTCCGATGAACCCGGNGCTCGGGGGAGCACGAAACGCGGGATCATGACTAGCAATGCATGTTTATAGTGAATTCCGATGAACCCGGATGCCTGCAGTAAGTATGGGGACTACGAGATGCGCTTGGCTCGCTTAACGTATGTAGGGATTTAAAACAAGCTGGAGCAGCCCATGCCTCCAGTTCAGCATGTGGCAAAGTGTAGGATAGAAGTCAATGGCTTGAGACAAGCCTAAAGAGCTTGTTTTCTACTGTTAGAGAGGCTCGAAGGCGCGTCGCTGAGGAAGAGCCCTGGGGGGCGCCGAAGAAGTGAAGACTACACTGACTGGAACGCCGCGATGGCGCCAGCGAGAGACGTGCAAGGATATAACATTCCGTCATAAAGACGTCTTCTAGAAGCACGGAGTCTACACACAGCGACAAACTTACTAGGAAGGCCGCCGCACGCCACTCCCTCTGTCAGCTGTACAGCCCGCACGTGATCCACCCGTTCCAAATTTAGCAAGCTAACAGGAGATGTTGTTTTGTAGCGATGTGGTCGTTAGACCACGCTCAACGGCATGATCTCGAACTGGCTGCAGCTGCGCTGCATACACACTGCTGGGAACTGCGGTTTTAGTGTCGATGCCTGCGTTGGTTTGTGAAGGGATAAGCATGTAGCCTGCCCCACAAGCAATACAAGCACAAAGGCTAAAAAAACGCTCGGCAGCATTCGTACCGAAACATGGGAACATCGTTCTCCCCAAACCCTCTACAACTGATACGCAGTCTCGAGCCGCAGAGCTGAAACAAAATCAGTAAGCTGCCAAACGCGCGGGAAGTAGTTGCGCGATTTGTACGCCCAATGACCAGTCATTTACTCCCGATCTGTGTGAGCCTCTCTTGCTTTCGTTTTCCTTTTGCATTGATTTCGCCTTCTCTTGCTCGCTCGCTCCAGCGTCTCCACACCCCGGCAATAAACACCGTCGCTTTATTCTCTACTCCTTCGTTCTTTTCTCAGCCTCCTATACTCCTTCTGTGCAGTTTNTAAACACCGTCGCTTTATTCTCTACTCCTTCGTTCTTTTCTCAGCCTCCTATACTCCTTCTGTGCAGTTTCGTAAATTTCAGCCTTCTGGTTGAAGCCATTGGCCCGAAGCTTTTCCGCCGCTTTCACCTCCGCGGACAACACGTCTCGCACTACTCGGGCGAGACCTGAAGCCAAATGCGCAAAACCATATAAGGAGTGCTGCATGTGGGTGTACATAACCCTGCTCTATCCGTATTGGGGCACGTTTTACTAGGGGAGTGAGCATGCGAAGGGATGCATCTACGTGCACTGCAAAACCAGATGTGCATGCGTGAAGCCGCACGGAGCAGTTCTGAATATGATGCAACCGACACGGTATCCGGGTGTCCACGAAAAATGCCAAGCACCCTGACACACTGTATGGTACTTCTTACACAGTTGCGCCGCATGCTACAAAGGCAGGCTAATTGTTATTTGCATTGTGCATTACAAAAATAGATGTACATGGAACACGGTGGAAGCATACGCATTTAACTTCTTTGTTTGGCATTCATGGTCAATATATCCCAAACCACACGGCCAGACGCTAAGGGAGGTCCCCTCACGAACAGTACAGAATCACACATACAATAACACTATCTGCTTCTGCTTAGAGGTACTAGCTACGGCTGGCTCCCTTTCTGTGTACACTACAAAAGTTAGATGCCTCCGCAAAAGCTGTCTGGAACAGACCCAGTGGAGCCAGTGGCTGCTCTTCAAGGCGACGGCCGATGTAAGACTCCACTCGGTGTACGGCAGCCACATCTGCTGGATCCTGAGTACCCAAAACGGAGAAGACACAAGCAGAGCACAAGCAAGCAGAAATATCCGAAATGCACCTGAAAATGCCCTGAACACCCTTGTGAGGCGCATGGAAGCGTATGACCTCNTTGAACGACAGCACAACAGCTGCTCTTCTGCATGCAAGAAGAGTTTGGCTGTCGTCACTGTTCCACACGTATCCAAGAACTCACAACGAAAGTTATGGCCAGGCCCTTTCTTCCTGCCCTGGCAGTTCTTCCAACTCGGTGTATGTATGTTTCTGGCTCCTTCGGAGGCTGGAGATTTACTACAAAGTCTAGATTGGGAAGGTCGAGTCCTCGAGCTGCCACATCTGTTGCTACCAGAATTCGTTTGTGTTCGCTTCGGAATGCCCTTAGAGCAGCAACGCGCTGGCGCTGCTGCAACAATGAATGGATGCAGACGCAATCCACCTCCAGTTGCTGCAAAGCTGTCGCGAGCTGCTGCGTCTTCCTCACAGAGCCACTAAATATGATGCCCCTTTGAGACGCAAATGGCTCCTGTTGCAGCAGATGTAGTACATATACCCCGCGCATTGCAGCGGGAACAAATATGTACCTGTGTTGCAGCAGAGGCGGACATCTGGCTGCCTTCTCAGGCAGCAACAAAGGCATTCGGGAATCACCGAATTGTTGCTGCAGCTGCAACAACGCGGGGCTGCTGCTGGCAGAAAGCAGCAACGTCTGTCTCCCTGCCGAAGATGCCGGCAGTGATGACAGCAGCAAGCGCAGATCGGGACCAAACTCTTCGCTTAAGAGTCTATCGGCCTCGTCTAGTACTAGACAATCGACCGCCTGCAACCTATCGTGTATCGGGCCTCGTAACAAGCGGGGAGGGACGTCTGCAGTGTGTCCATTTCTGGAGTTCCTACTGCTGATATTTTCGGAAGTTTCTTCCTCGTTTTCACTGCCGGATATATCTGGTGCTGTTGGGGATGCTTCTGCTTCGGCTGCTGCGAGACCTCTCTCACGCTGCAACAAGTCCGCAAGCCTCCCCGGGGTGGCGAGAACGACATGTGGAGCTTGTTGCTGCAGCGCCTCGGCCTCAACCATCATGTCTCTTCCCCCTGTAACCTCGACCCACCTTAGACCAAGGTGCTGTCCATACACGCCAAATTGCTCTCCTACTTGAGAGACAAGTTCGCGAGCAGGTAGCAACACGACGGACATAAACGTGTGCCCCATACCACGCTGAATTCGCTGAAGTACCGGCAACAAGTAGCAAAGTGTTTTTCCAGTCCCAGTGGGGGCAATAGCGCAAAAGTCATGACCGGATAGGCCCAAAGGCAGAGAACACCGCTGAACCGGCGTTGGCTCCAACAAAGAAAGATGCTGTAAAACGGAGCAAAGGGAGGGGCACACACCGAGTGAGCTGAACGTTACATCTTGTGTTTCTTGAGTCGATCCTGCTCCTTCTGTTTCCAGTTGGGGCGCTTCCAGCTGTTCTTGCTGATAGTGCGGCGGCTCCTCTCCTGCTGCTCCAACATCATCTTTGGATGTCTGCTTAGTGCATGCGTCCCTCTGTACCTCAATCAAAGGATTAGATGCTCCAGAATGGACACCGCAATCAGCTGAAGACCCCTTCTTAACACGTTTTCCTTCACTTTTCGAAGGCCTAGCGGCCCCCTTGGCCGTCGTGGACGCCTGGGGCCGATGGCGCCTCGAGAGCGCCATGGAGTGCTCCAGCAGGAATAGAAAATAAAATGAAGCGAATAAATGAATNGATGGCGCCTCGAGAGCGCCATGGAGTGCTCCAGCAGGAATAGAAAATAAAATGAAGCGAATAAATGAATGCTATCGGTTACACAAAAGTAGAAGGAGCGCCTTGACTAATGTACGGCGTGAAATGCGTTGATGGCAACTGCTCGATTCGAGTAATAGGAATCGATAAGCCCGAGGGCTGAATGATCTGATGTTGCCAAGCTGAAGAGTCCAATTGGCGATCAATTACGAACTCAAGCAAAGCGTTCTGGTTAGTAGAAGAAGTGATTCATTATAAGTCTGTGGCATCCGTCACTATGGGGCTGGAGTTGCCTTGGTTCGCTCATGCGGTTCTGGGGGGCCCTCAACCGCGACTGTAATACCCAGTATTATAGCCTGGGGTTCGCAGGGCTAGGAGTCACACGAGTGAAATCCGCCACTTCCTGAATGAAACCGAAATTTTTCATTTTTAAATAGTATAAATTCACTATGTCTGAGCACTAGTGAGTCCCAAGCTATCGATATAGAACTAAACCCCCTGATGACGTAGAAAAGACGCGCAGTACCTCCGACAATGTGTGTATAGACTGAACCGTGATAAGATGCTCTGTAGATCAAAATATACTCAGGAACGGCAACCACCGCCCAGGTAGCGCCCATGTACTGAATTGCTGTGGGTAACTCCGTGAACAATTCTATCCACAAGCCATCGTCCAACATAAATGTGATTGTGTCTAAGAAGAACGAAATAATAACTAGGAAAGGGAACTATGCAACTAAATAATATAATAGAAGGATTCATTGTAGTGCTCCAGCACTACAATATTCTACCCCACTGCGAAAGCGCGTAGCTCAGGTACACGTGTAGGGGAGGGCCCTGGGCGAGGGGAAAAGGGGAGAGCAAACGGCTAAGAGACCTGAGCATGAGGCGAGCTGAACACAGAGAATCGAACTAGCCTGGCTGCTCGAGAACGACGACCTCTCCATGAAGGAAGAACAGCACTACACCCCCGGAGATTGTCGGTCGGTTCCTACGTTGCGCGGTCTTCGCGGACCCCGCGCCACTTGAGCGCATACTGCTTGTACGTTCCTTCACACCGTTGGGGCCTAAAGCCCAGTCACACAGGCCGACGGCGACAGGGAGAAAATGAGAGGCATGAGTACAGGTACCGATACACACACACAACTGCAAAACTATTCCGTTATATAAAATAAGAGCAGCCAAGTNTGAGTACAGGTACCGATACACACACACAACTGCAAAACTATTCCGTTATATAAAATAAGAGCAGCCAAGTAATTACGGCCGTTCAACATCAGCCGAGCGCCAGCAACTTTGCTGCAACGACTGAACCCTCCAAACCATCTGCCTGCATACTAACAATTGCATGTGTCGCCGTTTCCGCCGCTGCGACAGCTACGCTCGCCGTTGCTGGTGCTGCAGCAACTGCTGATGATGTTACGCACGGTGATGAATTGTGCGGTTACAAAGGTGACTGTATATCATTGTGTGTGGCCCAAGTCTGTCCCTTTGGCCGCAGTAGAAGGTGCTGGGGGGTCAGGTTTGAGGTTCTTTCTAAGCAGTTCGGGCAGACAAGAATCATCATCTCCCCCAAACAGTTTTCTTCTCCTTGGTCCGCGCGTCGAGTTGTTTCCATTCCTATCATCATCATCATCGTCATCATCATCATCGTCATCATCACTAGCCTTGTCACTGTTCTTCTTCTTCTTGCCTTTGCTGCTGCTCTTTTTGGCTTTAGTAGTTTCTTCATCATCGTCTGCACCTTCTGCATCATTGACACTAGTCTTCTTCTGTTCTTGTTGCTGCGTGCTGTGTCCGGCTGCAGAATCCTGGGTTGTCGCGTTGCTGTTCTTATCAGATGCATTACTAGCTCCATTCGTCGTTGGAGCGATGCTCCGGAGGTCCCCTGAAGCCCTTTCCACCCCGGTTGTCTCTTGTCCGACAGTATTCACCTTCGTGGGAAGAGCGTTTATGTAGGCAGCCAGCTGGGCGTCGGGCGGGAACGGTCTCTTGCCCAAACAATCTTGGAGATCCGCAAATGTTAGAGTCTCCTTCTCCAGAAGCAACGCACTCAAGGCATGCATTTCCTGATGAGAATTAACAAAATCAAAAACACACCCCGAGGCGCGCGGAAGGTATGCGCATAAAAGCTGGAGCCATATAAAGCAGACGAGGGCGTACAATTAAACTGAGAAGGGAAACAAAGTCAGCAGCATAGAAAAGCCAACGCAAGTGTAGTCTATCCATTTCTTGAAGCCACACATGTACTTGCCTTTTCTTTTTCCTTTAGAAGAGCCTTCACTCGTTCGTACTGATGGCTAATCAAGTTGCGAACTTCATCATCCACGAGCTGTACGTACGAAAGAACAGCAAAAAACCAACAACTGAACTGCAAAAATGTGGGTTATATGTGTGCATACACTGATACATAAAATCAGGGGGGGTTCAAAGCCAGAATTCTACAGAGTATTATTGGGAGGACCGCGTGGCTGACTTTACTGGCAGGTTCAAATGCA